TGTATCGTAAGATTTATGTATGCCTTCAAATCAGCATTTAATGTAGCATACATGCAGATATCCCAGTCAACTGCTTACAAACAAGATCACAAGCATACTGAGGGTACTCTAACCCAAAGATAAGAAGCTTGTTATCATAAATAATTACTATGCAAAAGTCTACTTCTAACAATTCTGAAGTCATTTAGACTTGCCCCGTTATTTCTATGTATCATCTGTGCAGTATGGGCCTAACATGGGGAGTTCTGGGAAAGAACTGCTGCAAGTTTGAGGATAACACCAAGTTGAGTGGTACAGTTCACACAATAAAAGAAAGATATATCATCCAGAGTGACCTGGACAAGCTTGAAAAGTGGGCATATATGAAACTAATGAAGCTCAGCAAGGCCAACTATAAAGTGCTGCACTTGGGTTGGAGCAATACCGGGTATGTGTACAGACTGGGAAAACTTACTGAGAACAGTTCCACTGAGAAGGATTTGGGGATTCTGGTGGATGAGTGGACAGGAGTCAGCAGTGTGCACTTGCAGTCCAGAAGACCAACTATATTCCGGGCGGCATCAAAAACGAAGTCTCCAGTAGCAACAAGGAGGTGATTGTCCTTGTCTATTCTGTCCTTCTGAGGTGTGGTCTAGAGTACTTCATCCAAGCTCAAGAGCCGCAACACAAGAAGGACATTGAGCTGTTGGAATGGGTTCAGCGAGTGGCACAAAGATGCCACAGGGCTGGAGAATCTCTCTTACTAAGAAAGACTGAGGGAGATGGGCTTGTTCATCCTGAAGAAGACTCTGGGGAGACCTTGTTGCAGACTTCCAGTATTTAAAATACAGTCAGGAGGGAGAGAGACTTTTTACATGGCCTCATAGTGCCTGGATAAGAAGGAATGTTTTAAACTAAAATAAGTGAAATTTAGGTTAGATGTTAGGTGGAAATTCTTTACACAGAGGTTGGTAAGACACAAGATCAGTTTGCCCATAGAAGTTGTGGGTGCCCCTTGGAGGTGTTCAAGGTTAGATTGGAGGGGATCCTGGGCATCCTGGGCAGCCTGATCTAGTGGGCGCCAAGCCTCGCCATGGTAGGGGGGGGGAGAAGAGGGGGGCTGGAGCCTGAGAATCTCTAAGGTTCTTTCCAATGATGATTCAATTATTCTATTATTTATGAAAATTATGAAGGCATAAATGCTACTGCCTATATTACAGTTTTAGAATTGGGTAAGATCAAATTTGTCCTCCTGAAAGTGATAAAAAAAATTCAATTTATCTTCTGTACAGATGTTGCATGCTGCCTCCAGACAGCAATGTCTCTTTGAAGTGAAGCAGAAGATGATCTACTTTGCTGACTCACAGAGTGCAGTATATCAACACTGCTATAGCAATGGGAAACCTCATTTTCTATTAAGCTGCTACTGAAAGCTTTGAATAAAAGCCTTAAAAAGCTCAACTGAAGGTATTAATTTTGAGGGAAACATGTAAATCTTGACAAAATTTTCCTTTCATTTTTAATCTTTCTGTGGTAAATCTTGTAATTAAGATAATTAAATGACTGAATGAAACCCAATGTTTACATTCTTTAGCGTACTACAATGAAGAACCATAATCATGTTTATGGAAAAAAAGCAGCAGAAACCTTTTTAAATGGAGATATCAAACAAAGCTTGTTATTTAAGCAGTGGGTAATTAATGAATCTCTCAGTTAACAAATTAACAGCCTAGGAAAATCATTCTGAAGAAAAAGGCAGTAAAGGGTAGAGAAGAAGTAGATGAAATGTTTATGGTGATTTTTTTTTTTTCTTTAAGAATGAAATGCTATGTTTATGAAAGTCCAAGTCATCCATGATTAATGTATTTCTCAAGGGACAACTTCAGATTTTGCAACAAAATAAGAATTAGCAGAAAATCTTCTCAAGTAGACAAATTAAAATGATGTAGTATTTCTAGTGAAGTAAGAAGCCCACATATATATATGCAAGTGTCAGAGAAGCAGGAAGTGAGAATCTGATGGTAGCTGTTTGTCATAAGAAGTTTGAACAAAATCTTTTTCTTCAATGTATTTTCCTTCAACATTGTGAAGAATATCTCCTGTAAAACTCCCTCTATTTTTTGATAAGACATTTCTCAGCAAAGATAATTAATATATAATAATATAATTAATATTGATTAAAATCAATATATATTTCTCCTTTTAATTCTCTCATTTGAGTGCACACTGGGAATATTCTGAACATATTCATAGTGTTTTTTGTTGTTGTTGTTTATTTGTTTTTTGCATATTTCCTCTGTAAAATATTTGGAGAACAGCATAATGAACCAACATGAATAATTTGTACATATCAGTGTTTTGTAAATACATTCATATTTTTCCAGAAGAACTGTATTCTGTAAAAAGAGCATGTGAGCACTACCCAGTAAAAAATAATTATTTATCTCCTGTTTGAAAACAGGTAAATAAAACTGTATCCCTTTTAATATAGTGTTCCAGCATTGTCTTATTTTTTTTAACCTGCATTTACTGTAAGGGCTCAATCTGGAAATTCTTTGGCAATGTTATAAGTACTGACTTAGAGATTAAAGAATGGGATTCTGTTGAAACATGGATTGATTACGATGCTGTGGAGAATTATTAGATTTGGTAAGATATCATGGATTTATCTCCTTGGATAGTAAGTGAAAATTATTCCTAAGGATGCTGGTGAATGTGAATTAATCAATATAGTGGAGCTTGCACTGCTCATCTACAGAAAAATCTCTCTCAAAAGCCTACTCATAACTCATAGTCTTGTAAATGTTAGATGTTCACATTTCACACGTACTTCAAATAGTTTTTAACTATTTAACTATTATTTAACTATTAACTTCTAGATTAATTTATTGTTCATGATTTTAGAGGTAAAAATTTCTCAGGGCTGCTTAGGAGAAATAACATTTTGAAAATCAGACCCAGAAACTACAATCCAGAAGTTGAATTCATTAAAAAAATAATAACTTTAAATGTTCCTTCACATAAATCCTTGACATTCCTTTCCTCTATAAAAGGATTTGGAAGTTGGACGAAAGAAGGGAAGTTTCATGTTTAATTCCTGCTTAATTTCAGTACTGAGCTCACACATTCCCCCTCTGAAGTTCTATCTTTGTTGAAATTTTTTTCATAAACTGATTTTAATCTGACAGTCATCTTTCATTAATGTCTTGTACCCCACTACCACAGTTTTGCTGAATATTGTTGAAACATAATCAGGTTTCGTAAAATTTTTTGTAAGGATGATGGAGATACGCCCTTCTTCCCCCTTTCCCAGGTGTCTCCAGGCACCACTGATATTATCTTCTGTCCCATAGCAGTACCACAAAAGACTTACTACAACTCATTTTGCAAGAAGGCAGACAGAAGGAAATTGCTTCTGATTCTGCATATTACATGACAAACAGAAAAAAAAAAAAAAAAAAAAAAAAAGGAAGGTCAGGTTCCCTTACCATATACATGAGCTTGTGCTTGATTGTGTATATCAGTGAATTTTTTTAGCTTTCAGTGATTACTCTTCCATTCTGTAAACTTCTTCTATCATGACAGAACTATGACAATAGAGGCTACAAATGTTTTTCCAGAAGGAATTTTTTGCTGTCATAGTGTACCAATGTTGAAGCAACATAAACTAAAGCCATTGATCATTTTAAGTACAGGATTTTCCAAGCAGAGTTTTAATGGCTCTGATGAAAATGAAATAGCATAGTTTTTCACAATCAAATGTAACGTGTCTATTGCAGTAGAGCACTCCATTGAAATCTAGCTAAATTTAAGTTTAGCAACACAGTTTTAGGAAAAATTTACAAATACTTTGATGACATATTAGCTGTATTCTACTGAATGACAGCAGTTAAAAAGCATATGAATACTGCACTGTTGTTGCCCATCCATCCTTACACTCAGTCGGTTTGAAGAAAAGTAATTCAGCTCTTGACTTGGAACGTTTGTTTTGCCTACAACTTCTTCCCTGTTTATTTATCTTAATCAAGCCTTAAAATCTTGTAGCCAATTCTATCACATGTGGACCATAGAGTCAAATACAGAAATAGATGATGAAGGCAACTATGACAGGAAAATGTATTCAGAAGTCAGAAAAGTAGAGAGATGATCAGATAATTACAGGTGTTTATCACACTCATAATAACAATAGTCCCACAGTAGATATAAACAGAATACATATCCACAATTGAAATTCAGAGGAGGTATTGTTTCCTACACTTCTTCTGTCTGCAGTGTAACTTTTTGCGGAACTCAAATCTGAAGTCAGGAAAAATCCATTCTGTACAGATCTCATTTCCCAAATGGGAAAACAATAAGCTATACTGCACCTAGTTGCAAACATGATATTCTGTCTAGAGCTGTGTCTCTAGGTATTATGTGTTATGTAAACATGAAAACACATTTAGCTATCCACAGCCTTTTCAAGAGCACCAATCTGAAAAGCAGAAACACAATCTCTTTGCATAGCTACAATTAAATTTGGAAATTCACAGTCATTTCATGGGATTCATGATATATCTGGCTGCTAGTAATTATGCTATTGTGTACTGGAAACTAATCTGAACAGCAAGTGGAAGTAATCAAAACCATATTTGTACTTCTGGAAAGAGAAGCCAATACGTATTCAAAATCTATATCTCAAGACTGACACTTGGAACAATTTTGGAAGATTTCTAATCTCTAGGAGAAATACTATGTGATCTCAAGGCAGCACATTCACCACTAGTAGTGTGGAGACAATTGGTACACTGAACTTTTGTAGTGGGAATAAGATGTTCTCATAACAGAAATCCTGTTGCTATCCAGTGGAATTTGCTGAATGAGCATTAATTACCCCTTTGGTGCTCCAAAAAAAGTTAGCAGAACTATGTATATTTCATCTTCAAGATCCACAGTCAGACACAGATATCAACAATGTCAAGCATCCTATAATGAGCATACTGTAAAGGATGAGTATGCATACAAGCTGCAATCTACTGTACCTGGTGAATGAAGTGGAGGGGAGCACATCAGAACCACTCCTTGACCTTCACGTACAGAGACAGCACTTCTTGTCCGACCACTAAAATTCCCCAGATCTATTAAAAGAACATAGCAATTTTAGTTACACACAAAAAGTTTAGTATTTTTTTAGTACTGTAACTTATAATTTATTTCTTCTTCATCTAATGAATGATTCTGCAGTGATTTAATTATTACTTTATATTTAGAGAATACTGGGATGGTTTGTCCTGCATAGGTAGTCATTTTGTCTGGTAGTACAGCTTGAAATGAAGTGTTTTCTTAGTTAAAAAATTTCTGCTTTTCATGGTATACCATTTTGATTATATGACTTTATGTAGTTCTTTTTTTTTTTTTAAGATCTATGTTTTTCTAAAATAAAACAGATATATCAGCCAATTTCATTTATTTATTTTTTTAACAAACCAGTGTTTAGCTTTTTAGTGCAAAATTTATGAAGACAATAACCTTTCAAAATGGATTATTGCTGAGTCCTTTTAAAAGCAGCTCAAAGCTAAAACCTCAAAGATTTTTTTCAAGGTCAATTTTTCAGGCAAGAAGAATACCACCAAATTTCCATAAAATGTACTTGCAGCCCTCCTTCTCAAGAAAATGTAATATGAATAGTTTCCATAGGGGTGCCCTAAGGAACATTTTGATTTACTCCTCACATACGGCCAAAGTGCAAGAGTGTATACATGAACAAACTTCATGGGTTGTAAAAGATGTACAAAACTAATTGGTGGATCATGGCTTCAACATGTTTTCAGGACGTGTCCTGAAACCAGGCCAAGCAGTTTCTCTGTAAGTTATAATCTTATCATTGCAGTATTTCCTTTGTCAGTATTGGGAGAAAACAAACAAACAAACAAGCAAACAAGCAAACAAACAAAACCCCAATATTTTGCAGTCCTCTGACAATGGAAAAAAGAGGTAACACTACTGAATACCTGGAACCCATACAATAAGTATGCTATATGCGTTCTAAAAAGAAAAGAAAAAAAAAAAAAAAAAACCAATTTGGAAACAAACACCTAACAAATGCACAACCTTCACCTCTTTGAAAATACACAGCTAGTCTTCATTGCTAATGTGAAGATAAACATATATTTCTGGAGATACTTGGCAAACACAGAATAGCAAAATTATTTTTATTGCTAAAAAAAATTATGCAATTTTATTTATTTATTTATTTATTTATTTATTTATTTTTGTAGTGTGTTACTAAAGAATAATCTTTGACACAAGAGCAATCTCCACTGCGGGACAGAAAATGTACAGTAATTCCAGAGCTAGTGAAGATGCAAGGCATTAAATCCAATGTGTTTGGTGTAACACGTTCTGGATGTCCTACTTCAGGTATAACTAGCTCATTACTGTCCTTGATCTTTGGCACAATTTAGAAGATTGGGAAAAAAGCAGTAACACTGATCCAAAACATCTGGCTCACAGGACGGTTGTCTGCAGAGGCTACTCCTATTCTGAAAGGAGCTGAAGTGTAAGTTTCTCTCAGCACACGTATGTATGCATTGATGTGTGTTAAGAAGAGTATAGAAGACACAATAGATAACAAAATACTTCTGCAGAATGTGAAAGGAGTAATCAAAAGTAAATGAGAAGAGTCTTGAGGAAGTCAAAGGAACAGAAAGTGGCAGAAAACCTGGGCAGAACTAGCAGTCAAATAAACAACTAACTAAAAAGAGGAAAGGACCAATAGCAAAGGAAATCTAGCAATTGTTTTTCCAGTAGTTGATTATACATGTGAGGATGAGAATAGGAGAAGGATCAGTCACATTAAATTTAATATTCAGGTGCCTTTTTTTTTTTTTTAATAAATTGGCAGAAGAATTCATACAAAAGCTGGAACATTTTTAACTCTTGTTGTCCTTCCAATTCACTTCAATTATGGTTTCTGTGTCTCAGTTGCAGTTCAGTGCAAACAGTGAAGAGGCAGATTTTTGCAGCCCTGACAACACCCCCAGTAATGATTGCTAGCAAATTAAGATCAGATTAAAAATGAAAAATTGATCTGTGTTTGGCGTTTACTGCTTGGTAACCTCACACAGAAGCTGTAGAAGGCTTTGTAGTTCATTATCAGTCACTTAAACCAGTTAATTCCTTTTTAAAATAGAAACTAGACTAATGCAGAGCAGTGTTCTCTGCCAGTCCAGTGCTTTGAGTTTAAACTATTTCATGTGCAGATTTATTACAGAGTTTAAAAGGGTATCATATGATAGGTATTAAAATGTTTAAGGGCACATGCTGAAAATACATAAAATGAATATAAAGTAGGCAATCTTCTTTCTAACAAGGTAAAAATAGCTTTATGCAAAGTAAAATTCAGGCCAAGGACAAACATAATTGTTTTGTTGCTACAGAAAGAGTAGCCTTCTTTTCCTTGTATGTGAGAGGCAGAGCCAAGAAATGAAACTTTAGCTGGAATTGTAGCTCTTTTAAAAAGATAAGATTTACAGGAAAACAAATTCCATTAAAAACATGTTTTTTTTCAAGCTTCCAGTACAGTCTATATTAAAAATATTGCTTAATTTTGCACGTTAAAAATAGGAAATATTTGTTCAGTAGCTCATGAGGCTCATACAGGCAACAGAAGAATTAAACGTAGGTATAAAGAAAAAATGATATCCATGATTCCACAGGGAAGTTTTAGGTTCAGTGAAGTAAATTCAGTAATCATAGAATATTAAGATGTGTAAAGAAATTACTATATCATTTTGTACTGACATACACCTATTTTCTAGGAATGCTAGTTTAAGAAGGAGGAGCTTTGTTATTAGAATCACTCATTGGACCTTAGCAAGAGTAACTTTTGATACTGAAGATGTTAGATAAAAAAAGTATACAAGGAACATATGGCAAAAAAAGATTGCTACCATTACAGAAACATCATCTAACCACATTTTGTGAGAAAAACAAAGTTTTGAATTTTGAAAAATCATATTATCATATGACATTTCAATAATGAAATATGAGTAACAGTCAAAAACTTCAGGGTATACATATCATGGTTATTATTTCTGCTGTTATCATTCATTCCCCGAAAGCTTTTGACTCCTTCACAAATCATCAGTCTGAC